CTGTGGAGTTAGCCATGTAGGATCCAACTGTCTTAACCTCCATGTCATCTGCTGGCCCAAAGAAATTTCTTTTAATATGTGAAGTATAATGATTAATTTCTGAAAGTTAAAATAATCTCGCATTCTTGAAATAATCCATACTTTGTTACAGTGTATTATTCTTTTCATATATAGTATGGGATTTTATTTCCTATTATTTTGTTAAGGACTTTTGTATCTCTGTTTAAAAGTAATATCGATATATAGTTTTCTCAACTTGAAACAATTTCATCTGATCTTGGTATCAGAATCAAATTGTCCTTATAAAATGAGTTGAGAAATACTCTTTTATCACCTATTTTCTGATGAAAGAGTTTGTATGAGATTGATATTGAGTCTTATTTGTTAGAGAGAATTCACCAGTGAAGGCATTTGGGTCTGGAATTCTCTTTCTGGGAAAGTTTTCAATTAGTAATTCAATTTCTATAGTAGATATAGAGCTATTTTTTGTTGTTGGCTGTTGTTTTAATATGCCAGAGGGAACCTGCACTTACCAGAGAGAGAAAGAGAAAGAGCGAAAGCAAGAAAAGCACCTCCATTGGGGAACGGTCATGCTGTAATTCCTTGTCCTCCATTTCTCATTCCTGTTGGAATTATGGGCAGGCGCACACATGCACCTTGTATGTTTCTCAAGCTGCCAGGTATAGGACTCGAATTGCACTGTCAGCCATGTGGGATCCAGCCTCCTTAACCATCATGTCATGGACTGGCCCAATATAGAACTATTTGAATTATCTTCCTTTACTTGTGCCAGTTTTGATCATTTATATCTTTCAAGAAATATGCCTGTTTCATCTAGGTTACTAAATTGACTGGCCTAAGTTCATCATATTTTATTATCTTTTTCATGTCTGACTCAATAGTGACATTCCCTCTTTCATACCTGATACTGACCATTTGTGTCTTTTGTTTTCCTGATTAACCCACTAAAAGGCTTATCAATTTATTTGATCCTTTCTGGTTTTTGGATTGTCTTCTGGCTTGTACGATTTCTGATGAGACATCTATGATAATTCTTATATTTCTTTTCATTTTATTTAATATTTCCCTCTCTTCCTTGATTCCTTTTAAGAGTTTTTCAATATTATTAGTTTTAGCAAGTTGATTATGATGTGTTGATGTGTTTTTCTATTGTATTTATCTTGTTCAGGGGTCTTTTAAGCTTCTTGAAAATTTTAGTTTGTAATTTTCATTAAATGTAGGAAATTTCTGGACAGTGTTTCTTCAAATATTTTTCTGTTCTTTATTACTTTGGCTCCCCATGCTCTTCAGCTTTTGGAATTTTACTACATGTACACTAGACCACTTGATATTATCTCCACAGGTCCTGTCATTATAATTTTGCTGTTTTTGTTTGTTTTTTAATAGGGTACATGTGCTTGCCAGAGAGAGAAAGGAAAAGTGAGAAACATCCTCCAGGGGAGGTAGGCATGCCACAATCCCTGCCATAAAGTGCATGCACTTGTCAGAGAGGAGGAGAGAGAGGGAGAGGGAAAGTGATAAGTCACTCCCCAGAAGGGATGACCATGCTGCAATCTCTTCTTCTCCATTCTCCTCCTGGGATTTTGGGCATGCACATACATGTACCTGGCATGATTCTCAAGCCACCAGGTCCAAGACTCAAACCTCAGTTGGGCATGTGAGAGTCCAGCACCCTAACCACTATTCCACCTGCTGGCCTTGCATTACAATTTTTTAAGCACCTTTCACATGAATTTGTGTGTTGAGTCCTTGCAGAAACCATACTGCAAAAGTGGTTATTTCTCTCATTTTCCACTTGAAAATGGTAAGTAAGGTTAGTTTATTTGCCTAAGGTCACACAGATGAGTGACAAAGTCAGAACTTGGACTCAGGGTCTAGACTTTCCACCATGTTCCCTTTCCTCATAGGCCCTAACCAGGAAGTTATGTCCTGGATTATGTCCTAGGAAGTTTCTTCTTCAACCAGTTTGAAAGACACCTCCTTCATATAGCTTAGGAATTGACATTCTCTGTTCTTAAAGCTGATCTAACTCAACTAGCTAGCTTCCTTGTATCACACAGTTTTTCACAAATACCCCTTCCTCCAGAACTAATCCAAAATTGGGTGCTCGTAGGTGTTAGCTGCATCATACAGCCAGACCTTTTCCTAGAAGACAAAGAGCTCCAAGTTTAGGGAAGTGAGAGGAAAGTTGTTGTCTTAATGTGCTTGGAAGATATCCACAGGCTTTGAATCATCTGAATCATTGGAAGAAATGTTACTGGTTTTTACCCTTTTTATTCGCTGAGATTTACGTACTCCTCAGGTTTAGATGTTAAGGTTTATATATTCCTTGAGACCATCAGGCTGACCAGAATGTTTCCTGCCTGTACTTAATAGTATTCTACAATTTTCAAAGCAATCACATACCAGTATTTAAATTAATCTTTACAACAACCATCTGAGGTAGCCCAGAAAGAAGGTGGTGTCCCTGTTTTTAAGATCATAATCAAGGTGATACATACTAGGTGACAGAGTCCAGATTCCTTTCCTTCTCCCCTCACACTTCCTCTGTGCCTTCCTGAGGTGGTCATTTTGACTATTGTCTATGTTGTTTATGGCCATTTATCCATAAGTAGTCAGTTTTAATCGTAAATTTTAAAAAAGGAAAAATCTTAAACATGTTCTGCTTCATATTCTTGCTCTTTTCATAATGAATTCTGCAGGTCAGTTTATACTCAACAGTGGCAAGCTGGAATTTAAGTAAAGCTTCTACTTGGCATATTTGCATAACCAATCTTTTTTTTTTTTTTTTTTTTTTGAGAGGTTTTCGCTATAGGGCGCTTACGCTCGCCAGACAGAGAGAGCCATAGAGACAGAAAGTGAGAAATCACCCCCCAGGGGGGACGGTCACGCTGCAATCCCTTCTCCGTTCTCCTCTCGGGATCTTGGGCACACATGCACATGTGCCCAGCGTGAGTTTTAAGTCACCGGGTCTGGGACTCAAACTGTGGTCGACTAGATGGGAGTCCAGCGACGTAGCCATTACGCTAACTGCTGGTTCCCATGCATAACCAATCTTTTTTTTTTTTTTTGAGAGGTTTTCGCTATAGGGCGCTTACGCTCGCCAGACAGAGAGAGCCATAGAGACAGAAAGTGAGAAATCACCCCCCAGGGGGGACGGTCACGCTGCAATCCCTTCTCCGTTCTCCTCTCGGGATCTTGGGCACACATGCACATGTGCCCAGCGTGAGTTTTAAGTCACCGGGTCTGGGACTCAAACTGTGGTCGACTAGATGGGAGTCCAGCGACGTAGCCATTACGCTAACTGCTGGTTCCCATGCATAACCAATCTTTAATTCAGCTGCCAGCTTTTTAGCATTTACTTTCATTAATGTTATTTTGATGGTCTCATGCTAATCAAGCCTATTTGAAAGAAGTACTAAACAAGATTTATAGAGAAATTGGATGTGAAAGGACTATACCTTACACATGTGTTTTAATCAGGATGTGAGTAAAATTAACATTAGTCATGTTAGCTTCTATAAAATAAAAACAAAGGAATAACTTAGATTTGTGTATCCCATCAACATCACGTACTGAACACCTGCTGTGTGCCAAATAGTATTTTAAGTACTGGATATGAAGCCATCAACACAGCAGACAAAAATACCTACCCCCAAGGAGTGTCTGTGCTAGGCTAGGAGAGAGATGGGTGGTCAGATAGCACCAGAGGCTGTGGAAAAGGCCAAGCAGAAAGGGGACAGAGTTCTGGGAATGAGGATGATCAGTCAAGGTCTCACCTCTTTCATATCTTATCCACATTATGATGGAAATGCGATTTCCCTCTACATGTGTTCCTGTAACTTTAGCTCCAGGATAAATTATTTTTTACTTTGTACTTAATAAGAAACCAAATTACAGTAACTGAGTTTGTTCAGTTACATTCTTCAAGGATATTAAGGAATATTAACTCTACAAGCAAGTCTGTACTTATGCTGTTTTTTTGGGTTTTTTTTTTTTGGAGAGATTTTTGCTATAGGGCGTGTGTTCTCGCCAGACAGGCAGAGACAGAGAGACAGAAAGCGAGAAATCACCCCCCAGGGGGGATGGCCATGCCACAATCCCCTCTCCTCCTTTCTCTTCTCGGGATCTTGGGCACTCATGCACACACGCCCGGCATGAGTTTTAAACCACACCGTTCGGGACGCGAACTGCGGTCGACTACATGGGAGTCCAGCGGCATAGCCATTACGCCAGCTGCTGGTCCCCTTATGCTGTGTTTTACATCGGAGTCTACATAATATTTTCTACTTTCTAAAAAGAAAAAAAAAAGGAGGAAAGATGACAAAAATGATTTAAGAATTGTTCATTTCAGAACCTTGTTTTCATGCATATTTTAAAGAATTATTTTATTTAACTTTATTTATTTATTTTAATTTAACTAGAGAGGGACAGAATGAGATCGAGAGCGGGAAAGTGAGACAGTAAGCCACCAGGGCCGGGACTCAAACCACTGTCAGCCATGTGGCAGTCCAGTGCCCTTAACCGCTTTACCACCGGCCAACCCAATTTTTATCTATTTATTTATTTATTTTAATTTGACCAAAGATGGACAGTTTTTTATGCATTTCTTGTGTTTTACTTTTTTCAAAAGTAAATATTCCACTTAAGTGGAGTCCCTTAAGTTTTGGCAACTCTGACATTAGTTTGTATTCTGCTCCCTTTGAACATTAAAAAAAAAAAGTTTCTTGGGCGGCTCTCCAAGAGCCTGTTACTAGCCTAGAATGATCTCACCAAGTCTGACCCACAATGAGAACTCTTTCCTTCATCTGAGGTCTTCTCTTAGAAGCAACAGAAAAATGCACAGTTGCTAACTCTCAGGACTACCCTAGCCAGCACTGGTTTTCTGTTGTATTGATAGAAGCTGCAAATGGTGCTTGGAATTTCAGGTGACTTTTTTTCTCACCAGGATACCACACTTGTTTTCCTTTCCTCTCTAGATGGCAGCACCAAGACAGAAAAGGAAAAAGTGACTGCACCTCCTGCAAGCCTTGGCTGCTTCCTGCACTTCAGATATTCCCAAAGGGCTAAGACTTTTTCTTCTGCACTTTCTAGAAAACAACCAAGTGCCATGAACGCTTTATTTCTTTAATTAATTTGTAAGCAACAGCATTGCCTCTGGAGCTTTCAGCAAGGCAGTTCTGTCCTGGAACTTGAAATCGCCAGAGTGTGAATCTATTGATAATCTGAGGAATTCAAGACACATCACCCTGTCTTGGCCCGTCCTTCCATGAAAATGTGGATCTTTTCAGTGTAGCACTTCAGATTTCAAAATGTTGAATGGAGAAGGCTCACTATAAAAATCAGGTCATTTCTGAAGCCTGACCATGTTGCCCTGTTCTGCTAGGGTTGAGCCAGCTGTTTTAGACGGTATGTCGTAACTTAAACGCTTGATCTCACATGAAAAGCTTTGGGGAACCAAACATTCAACCCTTACTTTAAATACTTACAAAAACCCTGACTGTTCTTGACTCCTTATCAATCTGGCAGCTTCTAACTCATAATGATACCTAAAACATGTGTATTTTATGATCTCTTGGAGTTATAAACAATGCTTGATTTATAAGATATTTGTCCAGTATGTGTATTATTTTTTAGAGGAAGAGCATAGAATAGGAGGGAAAGGTGGAAATAGATGCCAAAAAGTAATTTAGTGGGGAATTCTGATGCGGAATGAATATGTTTGAGAGGGCACCAGGGAGTTTTATTCAAAAAACATCTTAGGGTTTGAGCTGGCTCTTCCATGTAACATTCAAGAGGAAGGGATGGAGTGGCTGTTGCTTCCTGCATTCAAATGGGACTGCAAATCTCTTGTTTGGGAAATAATTTTGTTTGCAAATCTCTGACTCCATTGGGTAAGTAGAACTCAATTCTGCAAAGTTGGAACGTATCATTTTCCACACCTCCTTTCACATCTAGAAATATTTGTTATCCTCAAGGGACTTTGAACATCCCTGCACTTCTGTAGTTGATAAGTGAAAAGTCCTTTCCAAAACCCCAATTCTAGGAAGTGGATTGTGGAACTCTGGACATACTACAGGGTTCTTGCAGGAGACACTACAGAAATAATTTAATTGCAGGGAACCAGCAGTTAGCGTAATGGCTATGTCGCTGGACTCCCACGTAGTTGACCACGGCTCACGTCCCGGACCCAGTGGCTTAAAACTCACGCCGGGCGCGTGTGCGTGCATGCCCAGGATCCCGAGAGGAGAATGGAGGAGAAGGGATTGCGGTGTAGCCATTCCCCCTGGGGGGTGATTTCTCACTTTCTGTCTCTATGTCTCTCTCTGTCTGTCTGGCGAGCACATGCGTCCTATAGTGAAAAACCTCTCCAAAAAAAAAAAAAAAAAAGAAAGAAAGAAAGAAAGAATTTAATTGCAGACCATTTTGGTAAAAATCAGGAGACTGACAATAGTTCCATTTAGTTGAGTTAAAATCTGGCTTTTGTCATCCCCTCCTTACATAGTCCCAAGGCCTGTCTCTGAAGATCAGCGTTTATTTTGGCCCAAAGCAATTACTAATGCTGAAGTATAACTGCTAAATGGGTTCAGTGTCCTTGAGCAACTCGTTTGTCCTCTCAGAACCACATGTTAGGGTGGGAGAACTTGCTAGGGTGGTGCCATCAGGATCCAATGGAAGCCCTACCCTTATCTCTCCCTCCTCCAAAAGGACTTACTAGGCAGATCTCGGTGTGGGTACTGTGGTCCCAGATGTGTGAACCTCCCCAGTTTTGTGAAAGGCTTATTGATACAATTCTGTCTTCCACTGGCTTTACTTATCGACTGTGCCCTTGGCCTTCTGTTTCTCTCGCTCTCTCCCCTCACTCACTCTTGCACTTTCTCTCCATATGCGTATACACCAAAGCCACTGAATACTGATGATGCCCACGTTGTCACTAGAAACCTTTCTCTGTTACCTGTACCCCAGGTTTGTGTTCCACTGGCCTATGGATATTGAAGAACTATTGACACTTCAAATCCAACACACTTAAAAGTACAATTTTTTCTTTTGAGAGGTTTTTGTATACGGCGCATGTGCTCACCAGACAGACAGAGAGAGAGACAGAAAGCGAGAAATCACCCCCCAGGGGGGATGGCCACACCACAATCCTTTCTCCTCCATTCTCCTCTCGGGATCTTGGGCACGCATGCACATGCGCCCAGCGTGAGTTTAAGCCACTGGGTCCGGGACACAAACCGTGGTTGGCTACATGGGAATCCAGCGACATAGCCATTATGCTAACTGCTGGTCCCAAAATTACAATTTTTTAACACGAATATTTCAAGATATGTTCCCATAAAAAGACAGATAAAGCAAAAGCAGTCCCCACCTCTAACCACCACCAGCTCTACCAAGGCTCCTCTAGGTCACTGTATCTTTGGCCCTAAATCAAGTCCTTTTCTTAGTTATCCAATTGCTAGCATCCAGTTTTTGCCTTTTTTATCTAGCAGCCTTATAGTCACTGTTCATGCTGACCCAGGAAATTGGTATGATCAAGCTTAACACCAGAACTGGATTCAGGACTTCCAGATGTCCAGGTTCTTGTCACACGCTCACGAAGAATTATAGACACAGACTCAGAAAGTGGTTAGCAAAACAGTTTCTTAAGAGAATGAAGGAAGAACAGAGCTTCTGAGCAGGGAGGGATCCCAAAGGGTTACCAGTAAGGAACTCTATATCTGGGGTTTATATTTGTAGTCTGCATATGGGGCTGGCTTTTTTTGATAAGAAAGTGGGCTTTAGAAAAGGATTACATGGTAGTCTCAGTGATTTATTACCCCATTCTTCACAGGGTCAGCAGACCATAGCTACCTGTGCTTCTTGTTAGAATGTGGTTAGTAAATAGAAACTGTTGCCCTTACCTATAACTGCTATGAGTCCCAATGCAGACAGCTTTTGGCTGTGAAAACTTAGTCATTGTGACTCCATCTTGGGCCTTTACCCTGTCTGTGTGCTCAATATTCCTATCTCATAGGGAGTCATAAATTTTTTAGAGACATGTAAAAGGGGTGTATTTTGTATACATTGACCAGACTGTAGAAATGAAACATTGTGGTTTCATTAAAAATAAAATTCTCATTCTTGGGGCTCTTACCCTTTCTACCTATAAACGGTGTCTATCTCCTAACTCAATACAATCCACTTCATCATTTTATCTTAAAATTAAATCCTACTGAGTCCTCCTTTAACCTACCTCATGGGTAAATTAAAATGAAAATATATCAACATGGCTCCAGGTGGTAGTACAGTAATAATGAAACTGGACCCACAAAGGGAAAGGTCCTGGGTTCTCAACCTGGGGCCAGCAGATGGTGTAGAGGTTACATCTCTGGACTCCCACATGGCTGACCATGGTCTGAGTCCTGGTTCTGGTGCTTTGAAACTCATGTTGGGTGCATGTGTGCATGTGTGTATGTATGCCCAAGATCCCAGGAGGAGAATGGAGAAGGGATTACAGTGTGGCCATCTCCCCAGGAGGTGATTTCTCACTTTCCCTCTCACTGTCTCTATCTCACCAGTGAGCACATGCCCCCTATGACAAAAACCTCTTTTAAAAGATTAATATTAAAAACAGATCAACAAATAAAAATAACCCAGCAACTCTCAAATAATCCTTTTCCTATCCATGCCCACTGCTACTGATATGGATCCTGACTGCCAACTGTCTGCAAACAGGAACTGTTTCTATGCAAACAAGAAGTGTTTCTATTCCACCTTTGTAAATTGCCTGTGGGGAAATGTTACAGGGTGGATTGCATCTTTTTTGTGGCTGTTTTGTGACTCTCTCTGTTTTCAACATCCTTGACCCAGGCTCTATAACCCCTATAACTTCCACATGCTGGGCCCAGACTTGAGAGTACTGGCTCTGCTGGGACCCCCTGGCATTATAAACCCAAGTTCTCCAGCCCTCTCATTGGTGCTTAGCTTCTCTCTCAGCAGTCTGTTTTCTACACCACTACCACTTCTTAGGCTGTTTTCCAGCTGGATGGCCAGTTCTTTTCGGGGCAGAGACCATCCAGCTCATGTCTCAAGTAGACACATAGTCATAATGTTGAACATGTTGTATGTATCCCACACTCAGTGTGTGAGTCACTCATGTGCACTAAAATGAGATTCTCCTTCCCTACCAAGTTGTCAAGGACTTGTAGGAAACAGCCAAAAGAGGTGGGAAATGAACACTACTGGTAAAAATAAAAAAAGGTGCAACTTCTGGAGGCCAGCTTGGAAATACATATAAAAAAATATACCTGAAAATTTTGCATTTCCTTTGCTTTAACAATATCCACAATTAGAAATATAGCCTTAGAACATAACCATGAATGTGTGCAAAGATTTAGCTACAAGAATATCCATTGTGGTACTGCTTCAATAGTAAGTAATTGGAGAAAAACTAAATTGAAAGGCTAAGGAAATTTCTCTTTTTTTCTTTTTTCAGTTTTACCAGAGGGACACATGCACTTCCCAGAGAGAGAGAGAGAGAGAGAGAGCAGGAAAGCAAATAAGCACCCTCCCATGGGTAATGATCACACTGCACTCCCTGCTCCATCTCTCCCTTCTTTCGGGATTTTGGGCATTCACATACATGCACACCCAGCATGTTTCTCAAGCCACTGGGTCTGAGACTCCAGCCACGCAATTGGCCATGTGAGATCCAGCTGCCTTAAGCACTACACCATGGGCTGGCCCATGAGAAAAGTTATTTTAAAAATTTGGTTCTGAAATGATAAGTGCTTCCCCCTTCCCCTATCTTTCTATCTCTCCCTTTCTTCTTTCCTCTCTTCATCTCTTTCCCAAAAAATTTCCCTTTATTTTTTGCCTCTGTTTGAAAACTTTTCTGTAATAGTGTGTATTTACTTATATACTAATACAGAAACAATAAAACTGTTGACAGAAAAGCCAAACTCCATATAATATCAAAAGAGGTTTATTCTAAGCCAATATGAGTGACTATGGCCTGGGGAAACATTATTTTAAGAAGCCTTGAGAAAGTGCTTCCTATACGACTGAATCACAGCAGTCTTACGCACTGAGTTTTTGCAAAAGTTAAGAAGTAAAGAGTATAGAATGAAACATAAAAAATACATCATGACTTTCCCAATGACCTAATATGTAAGGAATTCAGGAACACAAAGTTACAATCAAAGTAATAAATTAATATGTAGAGATTATACATTGATTTAGCTCCAGAAGACAGGGTATCTTAAGATGGGGAGTTACAAATCTTAGATTCAGAGCTTCTCAAACTTGTTATTGACTAAAAGAGCAAGGCTTTGCTTAAAACTTGGAGTTATCAGGAAGAAAGGTTTAAACTTAGCTTTAGCATAGATAAGGGAGTTTACTAATCTTACGTTGTTATGTCAGAGTCAGGATAAGAGAAGTAAGCCACAATTATCAAGGCAAGGTGACCTGTTAGAAAGATTAATGGCATGTACTCAGGGCTCTCCCAAGACCCATAGGAAGGATTATAGAACAAAGAAAACATGGCCAGAGTTCAGTCCTCAAAACTAAAAGTAGTAAACTAGTTCATAGCATTTGTCTCTTTAATAGTTTTCTCTCCCAAGTTTATAATATTTTCAAAAAA